AAACCAGAATAAGGATTTTTAAAAATATGTTTTTACTATGGTTAACAGAAATAAAATACTCAATCAAAGGACTGGGGAAGAGTTGAGGAAAACTCCCCAAATTAGCAGCTCAATAAAGAAGATGGCCAGGCGCGGTGGCTCACGCCTGTATTCCCAGCACTTTGGGAGGCTGAGGCAGGTGGATCACTTGAGGTCAGGATTTTGAGACCAGCCTGACGGACACAGTGAAACCCCATGTCTACTAAAAAAAAAAATGAAAATTAGCTGGGCATGGTGCCATATGCCTGTAATCCCAGGTACCTGGGAGGCTGAGGCAGGAGAATTGCTTCAACCCAGGAGGCAGAGGTTGCAGTGAGCTGAGATCATGCCATTGCACTGCACTCCAGCCTAGGCAACAAGAGCAAAACTCTGTGTCAAAATAAAATAAAGATAAGGGCCAGGTGTGGTGGCTCCCACTGTAATACCAGTGCTTTGGGAGGCCAAGGTGAGAAGATTGCTTCAAGCCAGGAATTCAAGACCAGCCTGGACAACATAGGGAGACCCCATCTCTACAGATAATTTTAAAAATTAGCTGAGTGTGCTGCATGCACCTATAGTTCCAGCTACCCAGGAGGCTGAGGCAGGATCACTTGAGCCCGGGAGGTCGAGGCTGCAGTGAGCTATGATCATGCCACTACACTCCAGCTTCAGTGACAGAGTGATAACTTGTCTCAAAAAGAGAGAGAGAGAGAGAAAGGAGAAAGAAGAAAATTGAAAGGAGGAGGTCTAGTATGTAGCAGTTGTAGAAAGAAAACAAAAAAACAGAGGGGAGATCTTTAATGAAATAATTTAAGAAACTTTTTCACAACTGAAGGGCATGACTTTCTGTATTGAAAGGGCCAATTAGAATGGATAGTCTCAATACATATTATCATGAAATATCAGACACTGAACTAAGCTCATGTATCAGAATGCTTAGGAATTCTCAATACCACCACCAGAAAGCCAAACTTCAAAATTCTGAAGGAAAAATTTTATTATTATTTTTAGAGACAGGGTCTCACTCTGTCACCCAGGCTGGAGTACAGTGACACAATCATGGCTCCCTATAGCCTCAAACTCCTCAGGGCAAAAGATCCTCCTGCCTCAGCCTCCCAAGTAACTAGGATTAAAAGTGGGTGCACCATCACACCTAGCTAATATTTTAATTTTTTTGTAGAGGCTGGGTCTCGCACCAGTCTGGCCAACATGGCAAAACCCCGTCTCAACTAAAAATACAAAATATTAGCCAGGGATGGTGACTTGTGACTGTAGTTCCAGCTACTTGGAAGGCTGAGACATGAGAATCACTTGAACCCGGGAGGCGGAGGTTGCAGTGAGCCAAGATCACGCCACTGCACTCCAGCCTGGGTGACAGAGTGAGACAAAAGAGACCAGGTCTCAAACACCTGGCCTCAAGCAATCCTCCCACCTTGGCCTCCCAAAGTGCTGGAATTACAGGCATGAGTTATTGCACCCCACTGGAAAATGTTTTCTAACCCACAATTCTTTACGGAGAGTATGTGAAGATAGATTTAAAACATTTTTAGACAAAGAAGGTCTCAATGAATTTACCTTCCATGAACCCTTTCTCAAAAATTACTGGACAGTCGGGAGCAGTGGCCCGGGCCTGTAATCCCAGCACTTTGGGAGGCCGAGGTGGGCAGATCACCTGAGTTCAGGAGTTTGAGACCAGCCTGGCCAATGTGGTAAAACCCCGTCTCTACTAAAAACACACAAATAAGCTGGGCGTGGTGGCAGACGCCTGTAATCCCAGCTGCTTGGGAGGCTGAGGCAGAAGAATTGTTTGAACCCAGTTGGTGGAGGCTGCAGTGAGCCAAAATCATGCCACTGTACTCCAGCCTGGGCAACAGAGCCAGACCTCGTCTAAAAAAAAAAAAAAAAAAAAAATTACCAGAGGATGTGCCCAACCACAGTGAGGATGTAAACTGAAAAACACAGGAAACAAGATGTCCAGTACAAAAAAAAAGGTGAAGGGAACACCCAGGATGGTCATGAAAGATCCCAAGATGACAGCTGTGTTCCTAGAGGGCAACTCGTTCAAATTAAAGCAGGCAAAGGCTCCAGAAGACGGGAAGAAGTAACTGATAGACAACCCAATATATGCAAACATCTTTTGTGATTGAATTACTAAAGGAAAAAAATAAGACAAATTTATTATAAGGAAAATAAAAAGTTGGGCAGAAAGAGAAAAGCAATTATTGTGAACTACGCACCCAACCAAAATTATAATTGAACTAAGTTGGAAATATGACGACATGGTTTGAATGTTTGTCCCCTCCACGTCTCATGTTGAAATGCAATCTCCAGTGTTGGAGGGGGCGCCTGGTGGGAGGTGGTGGTCATGGGGACGGATCCCTCATAAATGGCTTGGTGCTCCTCATGAAGTGATATGTAAGTTCTTTTTTTTTTTTTTTTTGAGACGGAGTCTCGCTGTGTCGCCCAGGCTGGAGTGCAGTGGCGCGATCTCGGCTCACTGCAAGCTCCGCCTCCCGGGTTCACGCCATTCTCCCGCCTCAGCCTCCGACTAGCTGGGACTACAGGTGCCCGCCACCACGCCCGGCTACGGCTAGTTTTTTGTATTTTTAGTAGAGACGGGGTTTCACCATGTTAGCCAGGATGGTCTCGATCTCCTGACCTCGTGATCCACCCGCCTCGGCCTCCCAGGGGGATTACAGGCTTGAGCCACCGCGCCCGGCCAACAGTGATATGTAAGTTCTTGCACTGAGTTCACAGCAGATCTGGTTGCTTAAGAGTGTGGCACCTCCCCCATCTCTTGCTCCCTCTCATCATGTGATATGCTGGCTCCCCCTTGGCCTTCTGCCATGATTGGAAGTTTCCTGAGGCCTCACCAGAAGCAGATGGCAACAGCATGCTTCCTGTACAGTCTGCAGAACGGTAAGCCAAAATAAACCACTTTTCTTTGTAAATTACCCAGCTGCAGGTTATTTCTTTATAGCAACCCCAAAACAGCCTAATACAGTTGGGGAGATGAGAAGGGTGAACACGAATGGTGGGGATAGGAAAAGGAAGAAATGAAATAGTCGTATGCCAGAGAAGGGCAATAAATAACGCCTAAAACTGAAAAATCAATGAAGTCATATAAGTCTGTTATTTAGCAGTATGGAGGTAAATACTGAAAAAAAGCTAAAACTTTTGAACACCATTTCTGTAAGTTGGGGTACTAAGACAAGTTATATCCAATCAAACTTGACTTTGACTCTAGAAACTAGTCTTTGTCCCACATACCAAGTTCATCAATCTCTTCAAAGATGTTCCTCACCTGATCATCACGTTGGTTACGATCCATAAGGTGGAAGGAAACTGAATCATTAACCAGCAATTTCCAAATACTAGAAATTGCAGTATTTGTATATCATGACATCCCTTCTTTTTTCCCAGAAGGGCTGGATGAAATATACTGATTCTATGGCAGTTCAAAATTCAAGCTTTAAAGTTTCTCAGCCCTGCCTCAGTGTTCCCATTTCAACTACGGAGATTAATATGAAATCAAGAGAGAACCTACAGCAATAAGAGAGGCTTAAGGTTGAGTTTAGGAGTAGGAGGAAGTTACCTGGCGACTGTCAACCTCACTGTGCAACAACCTCCCCTGGGGAGCTTTTAAAAAATACCCTGGTCCCATTTCTGAAATTCACATTCAACTGGTCTGGGGTAAGGCCCAAACACCATTATTTTTGAGGTCCCCAAATGACCCCAATGTTCTGCCGAGATTGCTTCCTCACAGAGTTGAACTACTCTACGTATTAAGGACATTTTTAGGAACTGCTACGAGGCAGCAAGATGGCAGGGACTGAACGGCAAGGTGGGAAACTGGGTCGCTTGAAATGGCTGAAGGACATTTAAGAGGGCAAGCTGATACTTAAGCAATTGAATTAGCCTCCTGATTTGTCTCCAAAACTGAGCAGGTCACACAAGTGCCAAAGGTGAAGGGGGTTTTTGGTATAAAAAGCAGGGAGTTTCAGGGAGAAAGTCATGAGATGGGGAGTCCTGAGAGGGTAGGGTTGTCTGTGAGCTGTCCATGGAACGCGGGATGGCATCTGTGACACCTGGATTAGGGTAGTAACTACACAACGAAGGAGTGAAGTCCACACCTGTGAGGTTTGCTGCTCACCGTGCTCAGTCTCTCGGCCTGAGGTCACGACCTTAACTCCCTTATCCATACCTTATCCTGGCTCTCCTTTAATATTTTAAAACTCTCGACCTGTTTACACCATTAAAATTTAGGCTGAGCCTAACCTCTTCACTTAAATTCTGATAAAATGAATTGCCTAGTTGAATCTATAGCTCATTCACATTCTTCCAAGCATTTTTTATTTAAAGATGCAGGCCGAATAGATTATAAATGCCTCATTTCTTCCTTTTCTTTTTTTTTTTTTTTTGAGACAGAGTCTTGCTCTGTCGCCCAGGCTGGAGTGCAACGGTGCGATCTTGGCTCTCTGCAAGCTCTGCCTCCCGAGTTCAAGCGATTCACCCACCTCAGTCTCCTGGGTAACTGGGATTACAGGCACCCACCATCATGCCTGGCTAATTTTTGTATTTTTGTAGAGATAGGGTTTTACCATGTTGCCCAGGCTGGTCTTGAACTCCTGACCTCAGGTGATCCACCCGCCTTGGTCTCCCAAAGTGGTGGGATTACAGGTGTGAGCCACCACGCCCGGCCTAAACGCCTCATTTTGACCTGTCATTTCACTTAATTGCAAAACAGGATAAAATCTAATGTCTCCAAAAGTAACACAAAAATGATTACAAAAAAGATGTAACCATGACCCATGTATCTAATTTTAAAAAATCATTCCTTCTCATCACCATGTAACATTAGCAATACCTAAATTTAGTAGTACTTAATTTCACACATATACATCAAAAAAAGATAAAATAATTGCAAAAGCATGAACTGATGTGACAGAGATGTTTAGCTTTAAGAAAATTATGCCAGCAAAGAGTTTTTACGGATGTTCATTTATTGACTGCTGGGAATACAGCCTATTGAGAATACATGACATGCATTTGGTGGAGAAATCAACTAAATCTGAAATGAAGCCATTCAGTAAGCCTGTTGTGAGTTAATAAGGTGGTACAGATTAGATCTAAGGACATGGTGGGGGCAACTCAAACAGCCACCGACAATTGTTAGTAAGATTCCAGCTACAAATTCTTTTGGAACTTATTCTTAATTACTCAGGAATTACCAGGAAAGAGGGAACATCAGTCTGCCTCTTTACCTTAAACTAATGCTAAGAGGGATATTGTGAATCACTAAAGAACTCTCCCCAAAATTATGCTCTTACTTAAAATCCTTTAAGGCAATTCTGTTTTTACAAATTCTTCCATATCAATTTGTATGCCTCAGAATTATAAGCAGCTATGCAGACCTAGAAAAGATTAATAACTGATACAAAAGACTATCATTTGATTCTAGTGTCTGCTGCTGAATTATACTGTGTTCTAATATGAGCAGATTTTTATACCATATTGCCAATTTCTTCCCCCAAGATTTTTGCTTTAACTCATTAATGCAATAAAATAAATCAAAGAATTCCAGGTACACTTAAAAGCACAGATAGATTAAGTTACTGGATTATCTTACACCATAATCTAAAATTGTTGAATTATATATACATATAACTTGAATAAAATGAATAACTTGAATAAAGTGAATAAAATGCTGGAATGTATCCCTAACTACAGTTTCATGCCAGGTATTTCCCCCAAACTTCATAATGGATATTTTTTCTTAAGATGATAACCTTAACTCGATGTTCAGGTGATTTGAGGTACTTTTTATGGTAGTAGAAAGAAACACAGACAGAGAAAACTCCAATGAAACAGAAAAACGAAGATTCTGGCTTTTTGTTTTCTTTTTTAAAGAGCCTGTTCCTTTCATAACCTTTCCTCCACACTTCTGGAGAAATTGGTTATGGCGTGCAGCGCTGGACAAATCGAGGGTATAAGCACACGTCTCGGATGTGATACCTATTCAGAATCCATGTTAAGAATCGTTCCAAGCCCAAGCCATATCCTCCATGTGGACACGTGCCATATTTTCTCTGTTTAAAAAAAAAAGAAAGAAAGAAAGAAAGAAAGAGGAGTAAATACTTAGTTAAAAATTTCATCTAAGGTAGTTAAGATTTTTCCACCATGAAAGGAGTTAGCTCACTGTGGTTAAGAATTCAACTACGGCCAGATTCAGTGGCTTGTGCCTGTAATCTCAGCACTTAATCTCTATGCCTTCATGAACCATGTGTAACGAAATAATTTGGTATGAAAAATCAACCAGGGAATAAGTACCACCCTGGAAAGAAGAAATTCTTAAAAACTTTTAAAATAAGTCAATGTCTCTTTATGAGAGGAAAATGAAGAAGGGTACTAGATACTGGTAGGATCAATTTTTTAAAACTCAGTTGCAATCAACAAGCCAGGCGTTAAACAGGTTTTCCAATGAAATCAACATATAACTTGGCCAAGACAAAGCTGGCAATATTCACACACCACATTATTATAACCTGGAAGCTGAACACATACAGCTCATTCAAATACCAAAGTACTACCCTGAGTTCTCCCCTTTTAAAAATTTCAATATATACAGAATGATTACAATGAAAAAAATTTTGAGTGCTTAAAAAATTGGTTTTACCTGATCTGTATACCAGTAATAGGGAGCAGGGTCAATCCCTTCCCTTTTATAACCTGCCAGTATTTCTTCAGCATCGCTGGTACGCATTGAGCCTCCCACAATCTCACCAACATTGGGCATCAACACGTCGACCTTTAAATGTAAGTGAAAGAAGATACACAATTACTCTCAAGCGATCACACAGGACTGCTCTAGAGTTCAAATGAAAATTACGATTAAGCTCCAAGGGCTAAAGGAGGCACTATGATTACGTAATATTCAAATATTTACATTTCTCTAATTTAACCAAGCATGTTAACCTCAATCAGGGGAGGGGGGAAAACCCAACGTCTTTAAATATTGTCATTCTAGATAGAGAATGATATATTTGCCATGAGCTGTATCTGATTCCAGATGACAGTCCCCATCCCCTTAGAAAGCAAAATTATGAATACTCTTTGAAACAGAAACTGACAGATTCAGTAAGACAGGAATCCTCAGGACATCGCTGCATGTAGAAGGACTTGATCTCCACGGGAAATCGACACAGCAAGATTGGTTCATTAATGGTGTCAGTCATCAGTCTCTCAGGAGCTTCTGGGATATCCTGAGGTTAAACAAGACTTCATTAACATTTACAACTTAGATTGCAACAAGACAGAAGCAGCTCCTTCACCCTGTGCCAGTCCTTCCTCCTATCAATTCAACAGAGTAGAGACACACCTGCCCTTAACCCATACACATTTGTGTAAAGAATAATTTCTTTCAAAAAGAAATAAACATATTCTTAAAACTCAGTTATTTAGTGAAGTGTAAAAGATCTGTCTCCCTTGACAGCATATCTCAAGCACTATGCTGCTTGACGAAGGAAAATCAAAAAAACAAAAACAAAAGCCAGCCTCAAGCTGTGACTAGACACAGCTCAGTATTTTTCTCAGTGGCCTGTTTTGTCTAGCTCTGAAGCAAATGAGGTCCACTTAGTCCCATAAGGCATACGGTAATCATGAATGCTCTAGAACATCATTGATCTACACACAGAGTATATTACTAATGACACTAATCTTTAAACTCTCTGTTATCTGCCCTTCTTTCCTGTTGTAATCAATCAGTTATGCCTTTAATGACAGAAAGGCACAATCATAAGACAAATAACCAATGTCAAACTGGTAAGTGTAAGCACACCTGGAATAGTTAGCCAAACAATGTTAGATGATGACTCAAGCTCATTAGTTTCTCTCTCAAAACATCCTTTTGTACCACACATAAAGTTAACACATAAGTTAAAACTGAAAAGTCTTGTCCCAGTAAAAACGGATTGAGAGAACTGGAGAAGACTCGTAGATTTGTTTAATGAAGAAGTGAAATGGAGGTAGCAATCACCCAGCACACCTGTTTTCAAGCTCTGGGCCCTGGAGCCCTTGCGTCCTTGGAGACGTCGAGAGGCAACAGGAGATGAGCAGGAGAGCTCTAGTCTCTCAGCTTGCATCTGCTTTACACAGTGGGGTTCTGCATAAGACTTAGTTAGGGGAAAACAGGTCTTATTTCATACCCCCCAAAAGCCTGAAGGCCATGTATCTACTCTAGTGTCCTCATGTGTGTGGAATAGCAATGTATAGTAAATGCTGACAGGCTCCCCTGCCATTGTCCTGGCTAGGCATTTTGCTCCTGTAGTCCCCACAATCTTACAAAATGGATGTTACTTCCAAGGTAAAGATAAGGAACTTGAGAAGGGGTCACTGGTCTTCAGTTACACAGCACAAAAGAGGTGGGAGCTAAGCCCCCCTGGGGGGCTTCTGACTCCACAGCTTGTGTTCCTTCCACTCAACTACACTATTTTACTAAGTATTAAGTACATTAAAAGTATTCAAGTTCTCAATACAAAATTTTGTCATTATACATCATAAACTGAATTCACAGGCTGGGCACAGTGTGGCTCACATCTATAATATCAACACTATACAGTGTGGCTCATGCCTATAATCCCAACACTATAATCTCAACACTCAGGAAGCTGAGGTGAGAGGATTGCTTGAGGCCAGGAGTTTGAGACCAGCCCAGTCAACAAAGCAATACCTCCATCTCTTTAAAAAAGAAAAAAAAACTGAATTCACAGAAACAATAAGAGTGCTTTACACAGACCTAGTATATTGTTTCTATTAATTCCTTCTAAAACCCAAAAGTAGTTAGTAGCAGCTACACACATTTCAACTGTAAAACAATTAGATGTGCAAATATTACGTAAGTAATGGTTAAACGCATAGGAAAGAGGGCCTAGCATAGCGTTGAAAACTTGAACCGGACGCAGTGGCTCACGCCTGTGATCCCAACACTTTGGGAGGCCGGGATAGGAGGATTGCTTGAGCCAAGGAGTTTGAGACCAGCCTGGGCCAACATAGGGAGATGCCATCTCTACAAATAATAAAAAATTAGCTGGGCGTGGTGTCTCACATCTGTAATCCCAGCACTTTTGGAGGCTGATGTAGGAGGATCACTTGAACTCTGGAGTTCAAGGTTGTAGCCAGCTATGATCGCACCCATGCATTCCAGCCTTGACGAGAGATGGAGACGCTGTCCCAAAGAAAGAAAACTTGCAATCCAAGTGCATGCTGGGAGAGTGGTTCTCAGGCAAAACCGAAATGCTAAGTTTATCTGGGGCACTAGGCTACCTTTTCCAACACCTTCTCTCTTGGTTTTGCATTTTTAACCAATGGCTATCTTCTTTCTCATCTTCCACATTAAGGAGCTTTAAATCACTGTTTTGGGGGGAGGGGATGAACCTCTTTTTAAAAGCAAAAGATACATTCTCCAGAAAAAAAATATACATATATATCTATATACCATCATTTTGCATGTGATTTCCAAGGCTTCACAACCTTCTAAAGCACTCCTGCCAGCCTAGAGAATAAGAAGAGTTTATAAGCTGTGGCCAAGGAAGAACAATGAAGGAAGAGGGAAGAGGCAAAGCAGGAAACGTGAAGGCAGCTTAGAAACTCACACTTGGCCAGGAGCAGTGGCTCACACCGATAATCCCAGCACTTTGGGAGGCTGAGGCGGGCGGATCACGAGGTCAAGAGATCGAGACCATCTTGGCCAACATGGTGAAACCCTGTCTCTACTAAAAATAATAAAATTAGCTGGGCGTGGTGGTATGCGCCTGTAGTCCCAGCTACTCGGGAGGCTGAGGCAGGAGAATTGCTTGAATCCAGGAGGCAGAGGCTGCAGTGAGCCGAGATCATGCCACTGCATTCTAGCCTGGGCAACAGAGTGAGACTCTGTCTCAAAACAAACAAACAAACAAAAAACAAACAAAAAAAGAAACTCACTCACACTTACTGGACGCTACAGAACAGGCACTGTCCTAAGGCTGACTCTGTTAACTCAGTGAATCTGCAGGCAACCCCATGAAGCAGGTTCTGCTGTTACCATTTATTTGAGGACAGGCAGATGCCACCCACATTACTAGTTCATTAACCAGAAGAACAGAACTGGAGCCCAATCCCACCTTGGAAACAATGAGAGAAAGGAATACATACTTCTCCAAATTCATAGAAAGTTCCATCTTCTTTCTTTATATCATGTTCT